TAGAATAGAATAGAATAGAATAGAATAGAATAGAATAGAATAGAATACCTTTATTGGCCAAGTGTGATTGGACACACCAGGAATTTGTCTTGGTGTAAATGCTCTCAGTGTACATAAAAGAAAAGAGAAAAGAATGCAAGAACACAAGGTCAGACAAGGAGACCCAAACTCATTGGTCACCTCACACTGCAATGAACATTAGTTCAATTTTGCAGCTATTCAGATTGTTGGCTGAGCAGGTCCAAAGATAGCCAGGGAAATCATTGAAGCCTGAGTAACCAGCTCCTTTGTCAATCAACAGAAGGGCTGATTTATCACCAGCCCAAAGTACACAAGCTCCTCAAGAACCAGACTGGCTCCAGCACAAGTCCAAAAGCTCGAAAGAGTACATCTTGGAACCCACTGACGGATCCCAACTGGATCCTGCAACATTATCCAGAGATGCTTAACTTTTCCTTCATTAATGTTTATTATTTAATAGGTCCTATTTTATTCTGTTGATTTTGATGTTAAGATTATTTTAGCTGTTTTTATGTTTTCTCTGGTTTTGTATGCCACCAAAGTCCAGTGGAGTAGGGGGGCTAATAGATTTAAATCAATCAATCGATCAAATCTATTGGGTTTGCAGGCTGCAGCAAACAACTGACCCCAGAGCAGCATCCGATTCCCCAAATCCATCATTCGGGATTAAAAACACAAAAGAATCCGAATTGAAAACCAAAACTATAAGAAGGAACTAGGAAAGGAGTGGGAGGGGGGGAGAATCCACATTAAATTCCAATAAATCTACTCTCTCCCCGCAACCCGAGGAAGAGCTCCTTGCATTTCCCCTCTGAATAAAAAACGATTTTCCGACCATTCCGATAGGAAAGACAAAACTCTTTAAAGCACAAAATCCTTCATCACTTTTATAGTTGATCAACGCCCCCACGCCAAGATAGCAACCACAGAAATCATTGTTGGTGAGGTTCAGGCTTAACCTTTTCCTTTTATGCCCCACTCCGGGAAGGGTATCCCAAAGCCAATTCGGGTCCCTTCTCTCCCCGAAGAGTCAAGGAGGCGGGGGGGGGGCTTTGCTTCCAGGGGGGGTGTCACCGAAAAAAGCTCCGCAGCGATGGGCCAGCACGGGAGAGCGAGGACGGAGGACGCCACCCCCCCATGTTCCCCCGCGCCGAGACCCCCGAGCTGCATGCTAAACTGCAAGGAATACAATGCAATGCAATGCATGAAATGCAAGGAATGCAATGCAATGCAATACAAGGAAAGGAATGCAATGCAATGCAATGCAATGCCTGTATGCGATGCACGTAGCCCAGATCCCCTCCCCCCCGCTTTGGCTTCGAGAGACCAGGCGAACCGAGGCTGGAGGGAAGGCACGCGGGCTCCCCAAAACGGAGAAGGGGGGAGGGAGAGGCCTCCCCGTGCAAGGCTGCCCCCGCGGCTACTCCCACCCCCCCATGCAGAATCGCAAAGAGCGAGGAAGCGGCCCCGCTGCAGCTGCAGCGACCGCGGAGGCCGGAGGAGGAGCCCCCTACCGCAAGCAGACGAACGTTTTCCCCCCCGGACCTTTTCCGGGCATCCCCTTCACTCCTTTTTCCTCCTTCGCTCCTCCGCCTTCCCTTCGCTGTGAACCGGCGGAAGAGCGTCCTCGGGCGCCCCCTCTCGGATCCCGCCTTCCAGACACCCCGAAAAGAAACAAAACCAAGGGACGAAGGGGCCCAGCTTGGGTGGGCTTCCCCTCGCTTTTCGGAGGTGGCCGCACCGTCCCAGTGGGCTTTTGCCTGGGGAGGAGCTAAAGGGCGAGAAGGTGCACGGCTTTCCCGCCGAAAGGTCAACCTCGGCACAATCAATCTGAAGAGAGCTGGAAGTCTAGTCTAGTCTTATACTCTCCTGAGTGTTTGGATTCCCCTCATGGGTGTCTCTGCTGATCAAAAAAGATCAAGGAGAATCATATAATAACAGAGTTGGAAGGGACAAGATAGGCTCAAGATCCAGATGGATCAGGACAGACTAGAACCCTGGGAGGTATCTAACAAAATGAAATTCAGTTTAGAGAAAAGTAAAGTCCTACACTTAGACAAGAAAAACCAAAAGTACACATAGACTGGGTGAAACCAGGCTTAATAGCAGTAACTGAGAGGGATCTTGGAGTCTTAGTGGACAACCAGCTAAATAGGAGCCAACCGTGTGCAGCCGCCGCCAAAAAAGCTAATGCAATCCTAAATTGCATTAACAGAGGGATACAATTGAGATCAAGTGAGGTACTAATACCACTCTATAAAGCCTTAGTAGGACCACACCTAGAGTACTGCTTCCAGTTTTGGTCACCACATTATAAAAAAGATGTTGAGACTCTAGAAAAAGGGCAGAGAAGAGCAACCAGGATGATGAGGGGACTGGAGACTAAAACATGAATAACGGTCACAGGAACTGGGCATGGCTAGTCTAGGGAATAGAAGGGTAACTCACCAAATTTGCAGATGATACTAAGCTGGCAGGAATAGCTAACACCCAAGAAGATCCAGATGGATCTTGACAGACTAGAACACTGGGCCATATCTAATAAAATGAAATTCAATGTAGAGAAAAGTAAAGTCCTACACTTAGGCAAGAAAAACCAAAAGTACACATATAGATTGGGTGAAACCAGGCTCAATGGCAGTAACTGAGAGGGATCTTGGAGTCTTAGTGGACAACCAGCTAAATAGGAGCCAGCAGTGTGCAACAGCCGCCCAAAAAGCTAATGCAATCCTAAATTGCATTAACAGAGGGATACAATTGAGATCAAGTGAGGTACTAATACCACTCTATAAAGCCTTAGTAGGACCACACCTAGAGTACTGCATCCAGTTTTGGTCACCACATTATAAAAAAGGTGTTGAGACTCTAGGAAAAGTACAGAGAAGAGCAACCAGGATGATGGGGACGAGGCTAAAACACAATGAACGGTTGCAGGAACTGGGCCTGGCCAGTCTAGTGAAGAGAAGGACCAGGGGAGACAGGATAGTGATCTTCCAATATTTGAGGGGCTGCCACAGAGAGGAAGGATTGAAGCTATTTTCTAAAGCACCTGAAGGCCAGACAAGGAATAATGGATGGAAACTGAACAAGGAGAGATTCAACCTGGAAATAAGGAGAAACTTTCTGATGGTGAGAACAATCAACCAATGGAACAGAAGTTGCCCTTGGAAGTTGTGGGAGCTTCATCACTGGGGACTTTCAAGAAGAGATTGGACTGCCATCTGTCAGAAATGGTGCAGGGTCTCCTGCTTGGGCAGCAGGATTGGACTAGATGACCTATAAGGTTCCTTCCAACTCTGATTATCTGTTAGATCTGTATCTTGGAGGTCCATCTAGTCCAACCCCCGGCTCGAGCAGGACAGTCTATTTTTCCAAATATTAGCCTCTACCTAGGCTCGAACTCACAGCCTCCTGATTGTGAGGTGAGAGCTCCACCTCTAGCCCACCGGAGCTGATAGATAGAACTTATAATTTCAATCAATCAATCAATCAATCAAGCGGAAAGGGACCTTGAAGGTCTTTGTCCAGCCCACTGCTCAATCAGAAGACTACACCATTCCAGACAAACGGCTATCCAGCCTCTTCTTAAAAACCTCCAGCGATGAAGCACTCATAACGTCTGAAGGCAAAGCTGTTCGGCCAATTAATTGTCCTCACTGTTTACGTATTCACACGATCGAAGTCAAATACAGGTCATCCTCAACTTACGACCACAACGGAGTTCAAGATTTTGGTTGCTAAGTAAGAAATTTGTCAAGTGACTGTTGCCTCATTTTAGTACTTTTCTCGCCACCTTTATTAAGTCAATCGCTGCAGTTCTAAAATTAGTCACACGGTGGTTAAATAAATATAGATTCCCCATTGACTTGGCTTGTCAGAAGTTCGCAAAAGGGGATTACACAACCCCATGAATTGTGAGGTAAAGCATCCCAGTGTAAATTGCGTGGCCATGGAGA